TACTCGTCGTCCTTCCGTCCGCGCGCTCTCTCTCTCTACTCTCTCTCTCTCTCTCTCTCTCTCTCTCTCTCTCTCTCTCTCTCTCTGGTACGAACGGTAGGTAGTATAACCTACCGTTCCGTACCACACACACACACACACACACACACGCACACGCACACGCACACGCACATGCACACACACGCACACGCACACGCACACACACACACACACACACAGAGCGAGAGACGCATGCACACACGCGCACGCGCTCACACCCGCACTCCTGTGCGTGTATCTATTTATTAGCCGACTGGAGTCAATCCGCTAAAGTCGCCGAGTATCAAACACTGAGGCAGCCGCGGCGATAGTCTCTAAAACTGCATTACAAGCCACTAAATACCGCATAAATATTATCAGGGGTTTCATAATATAGATATTATAACACTCCAATATTATGACACACCTGATAATATATTATTATATCTAATCAGATATATTCTATAATATATTAATATTGTGTGGTAACAGGCAATTTCCTATTGATTCGGACTGCGCTTTGGTCAACAATTTCTATGTACCAGTTAGCATAGGTGCGGGGAGGCGCCATGGCAGACAACAACCAGCAACACAAACTCGGAATCAGTCTACTGCCTGACGTAACTGGAGAACTAGCAAGCGGGTTAATATTGACTTCAGCTAATTATGGCTAATTAAATTAATCAACTTCCTAATTGCATCTCGTGCGTTTTCAACCGGGTGTGAGTTCGTTCGCTTAGCTCGTTAGTTTGAGCAAGTCAATATTCCCCCTTCGATTGTATCGTGTGACATGAGAGTGATCGTGACCGTTATCGTGTGCAGATGAGCTAAAACATTGCTCACTGCACTGTGGAGTTAGGCTTGGAATTAGTTTTTATAAATGTGTAAAACTGTGGGTTAAAATTAGTTTGAGGGGTATAATTAATATGAGTCGTAATGAAAGGGTTAAGGTTCCACAATCCTATTCATAGCCCTAACCCTAACCCTATTCCTAACCCTAACTCTATTCCTAACCGTAAACCTAAGCCTAACCTAACCCTTACCCTTACCCTAACCCTAACCTTAACCCTAACCGTATCCCTAACCCTAACCGTAACGCTAAGGATAAAGCTGTACATACCTAACTGTAACCCTACCCTTGCCCTGACCATTACCCTATCCCTACTTCTAACCCTAACCTTTACATTACTTTATCTGTTTGACTCTATCCCTTATCTTATCTCCATGGTGAGCTATGCATCCCCTGGGTCATCACACTGTCTTATTCGCACTCCGCGTGATTTTCAGTCATCCTCAGTGCGAAATGCAAAAATGAAGCTGGCAACTAATTGGCAATTAGCACACTCATGGCGAAAGTAAACAAGCACGCCGGTGAAGACAAACACGCGGGACGGACACTTGATATCTGTGTGAGGTGAACGCCTCAGTGTCTTTCCCTCGCGCGCTCTCGCTCTCTAACTCTCTCTCTCTCTCTCTCTCTCTCTCTCTCTCTCTCTCTCTCTCTCTCTCTCTCTCTCTCTCTCTCTCTCTCTCTTAGCCACACATCAGCACGCTATTCACGTAAACATAGAGTGAGTGAGTGAGTGAGTGAGTGAGTGAGTGAGTGAGTGAGTGAGTGACTGAGTGAGTGAGTGAGTGAGTGAGTGAGTGAGTGAGTGAGTGAGTGAGTGAGTGACTGAGGAAGCGGGCGCGTGGGTGGGTTGGGTGATTTGATGGGTGGCTGGATATCTGGATAAGTAAAGAAATGAATGAATTCAAGCCCCATGCAGGGATTTGAAGACCGAAGCAGGCAGGAACAGGTGTTAGTGCAGTCAGAGTCTATTAACGTTAATCTTTACATTTGACATCTTACGTTTGTTATATGTTTCCCAGCGCGCGCACTTGCGTTCGTAGAGAATCGCGTTTCTAAATCGTAGGCGAAGACACTTCTACTACTGCTGTTATTGTCGATCAGAAATGGGATGTGTGCGTGCACGGCGTGCACACGCGAACGGAGGGATTGAGTCCGCTCGCTGGCACGGCTGGGCGCGTCCGTGAGTCAGGGATGCGGCGAGCGGCGGCTCTAAGAATCTGTTATCCATTTGGTTGTAATAAAAGCCGAGATGCGCGGGTTTTTTCTCCGCCAGCGATGAGGCACAGCCGCGCGCGCGCCCTTCATCGAACACGCATATCGTCTGCTGCTGTTTTGTAGGCGCGCGGTGACGCGGTGCGGACCTGTACTCACGCAGCCGCCTCACCCACCGAGGATGAAGCCTCCAGCGAACGCTTATCTCGCTCCCCGCGCTTCTCACTTCGGAATGAAACCAGCCTACGCGTCCCTCTCTCTCGAAGTTGACTGCCTTTCAAAACGCACCTCTCGCTTTCAGCTTAAATTCGCCTTTCGTAAGGTCTCTCATAAAGCGTCCTTCGTTTAGAGGCTTTCGCTCCCCAGGTTTCATGCCTTTTGACGTCTCTCCAGGCTGCAGTATCTCGGTAGTTTCAGTATATTGCTTCCCGTCTCGGACCGACTTATTCCGATGTGGGTTGCATTCGACGCAACCTCTAAGGTTCATTTCCGTGTCCCGAGGGTGGCGAAGGTCGTTTGTTTGCTTCGTCGTCGTGGAGACGCTCCCGTCGCTCGCGCAGCCTCGTTTCGGTGCAACTTTTTCCTCGTTTCGTATGCGCAACTTTTCGTCGGTGTCGATTTGTGAGCGCATTCGTCTACCCTGCAGGCACCAGCGCGCTGTGCAGCTTCGGGCATCGATACCCTAGCGCGATGATCGCGCTGGATTGAGTATCGAGAGAGTAGAGACTTCACACGACTGGGTCGGATGTATGGCAGTCCAACGGCAGCGTCAGTCACCGCCTACCGTCCCTGCAACAGATAAGTTAGATCTCGTAAACATAGTGCTTAGCTGGTGTATGACAGTTGCACTGCTCTGCTCTTTACCACGCTCCCTCTCACACACACGGGCAGGAGCGCATGCACGCATGCACGCACGCACACATGCAGATACAAACACACACACACACACACACACAACACACACACACACACACACACACACACACACACACGACACACGCACACGCACACGACACACACACACACACACACACACACACTACGACACACACACGACACGACACACGACACTACACACGACC